GAGACGGGGGAGGGGGAGGCGGATACAGAGGGAAAGGGAAAGAGATAGAGAGAAAGAGAGACAGAGAGAGAGAGAGAGAGAGAGAGAGAGAGAGAGAGAGAAAGAGAGAGAGAGAGAGAGAGAGAGAGAGAGAGAGAGAGAGTTTACGTATGCAGTTACATTATTCTATTTTGAAAGACAAAAAGCATGGTGAGGCATTTTACCAGTATATTTACTGATGCTTGATTTTGACAAATGGATGAATCAGTCACGGTGCACAGAAACAGGATACTTTAGTTGAGAGCACAGGTCAGCGTGACCGAGCGGGAGGTTTAGAAAATCGTAATTTTCATTCTGATTTGAGCACTAATTAACGCAATTATATTGAATGAAAATGAAAGACATCACTGCACGTGGGAATCTGTAGTTCCAAGCCTTTTTTATGATTTCCAAAAACAAAGTGAATAAGTATTGGTCTGTTCAGTTGTAACAGAAGGTGCAAGTTAGTCATGTCTGATTCCCGTTATCGTTTCTAGTTTTGATGTAACGAGCCCCGATAATTAGAAAACTGAGCATCAGGATTAATTTATCTATTAGGGAAATAAACGTAATACTTAAGGGCATCTACATACCAAATTTCAATGTTACCGCAGTTTCTGTGACCTCATAACGGTTGATCTATGCATCACATTGTCGTAAATATCCACATATTTCCCTCACTTGGAAGACAGTAACTCCACACTAATTATTGCGTAGGCTATAGGTTTTCGTATTTATATATACACGCATGTCCAGAATCATTGTGTCTGCATGTTGCACATCTACGTGTTGGTCACTGACTGGGACAACAGACTGAGGGTGGGTGTGGCAAGTCTGACTTGTACTTGTGTGTGGGTCGTTTTTTTTGTGTTGAGTCTGTGATGAGAGCACGGGTACATGTACTCTGTGTGGTTGTGTCTGTCTCAGAAATGTTGGTGCTAGGACTAGCTTGGTATGTTTCTTGGCTGCTGGAGTGAGACTGGGGGGTCACTGGGCTTTGCTGTTGCACAGCCAAGAGAGAGCAGTTTTTTCTGTTCATAGACTGTGCACGTTTTTGCATCACAGTTTTCATTGTAAGTTGTAAGCACACTAAATGTATCGACTGCTGCCAAAAAGTGTCTCTTATTGTTTGTAGGGAAACTGCACTATTTCGACGTTTAGCGTCATGGATTGTTTTATATATCATTTCAAACACACAAATTTGTAAAGTTTGTCACTAGTGTCATCTTTGATACTCAACCCAAACACAAGAAAGAGATTACTGGCTATTTCCGAACACAAATAGTGGGTGGTTGGCGGGTGCTCTGATGTGGTTTGCTTCTTCTTTCCTATCAAACATCTATCGTCTTGATCTCTACTCCTTCTTTCTAGAAACACCTCTAATCTTCAGCACTTATATGACCTTATCGTGTTGCACGTGCCGAAAAACTGTTACTAAAACTAAAAGAACACAAATACGGATTTTTTAAGGATTTTATCTGCTTCCCTGCAATGTTCAGCCTTCTGCAAACTCCACACAGACTGTTTAAAGCGGATACATGACATTCAGGGGTGTGTTCCATTTCAAGGTCTTCGTTTTATACGGCAATAAAGTTAGTATTAGCGGGCCCAAAATAATAATCCGATGTAGCTTAACAACCTCAACTGCGGTAGTACTGAAATTTTCACACTTAAAACAGGATTTGTTCATGAACACTCACATTCGAATCCTCCAAAAATTCAAAGCAATGTTTTGTCGCAATAGATGATTATTTATCCTCTGTTTGAAATAAGAAAAGCGTGTTAAACAGGCTGCAAAAAGACACATGTAGAACACCTGGCATAACACGTAGAAGACTGGGACTTTCTTTAAGAGAAGGAGAAATGGTGTTGCTAAAATCTATAAATAAAAACTACTTGGTAGTTCTAACGGCACCACGGCAATTGAAATAGTAAAGGAAACGATTTTATCAAGAACGCATCCCAGTTTATAACAGTGCCAAGAGGTCAAATGACCCCAATAAAAAAGGTCAACAGATACCCCTCGAGGTGATTAATTACCTCCGGACAGCGGGAGCTGAGGCGCAACTAAAAGGTGCGATTTCGGCTGATTTCATGCGCCATGCAGTACATTGAAAAGAAGTTGAATCGGCAAAACAACAACATAGACCGAAAGCAAGTTTATGATTTATGTGCGTCATTTGCAAGTTTGCGAGAGAGTAAGAGACGGAGAGAGAGAGAGAGAGAGAGAGAGAGAGAGAGAGAGAGAGAAAGAGAGAGAGAGGCGGGGAAGAGGGGAAGGGAAAGAGACAGGGGAGGGGGAGGCGGAGACAACACAAAGTCTGCTTCGACTATCAAGGCACCCTGGAAACAGCCAGGGGCGGCTGGTCCATAAAGCGCCGTCGTGCACTGCCGCCCAAAAGTGACAACAAAAGAACCTTTACCATCCATCATCCAATCAGTTTTATGTACAAGTTCCTCGCCAGAGCCTATTAGCTCCTTACAACATCTACAACAGCTCTACAACATCTAATATACCATACTAAGTTCTTTTGCTTCACCCAAGTAAAAAATAGTATGTTCAGTGGTGTAATCTCTCTCGGAAAATGCTCTATAGGACGACCCAAACAACGATGACGTTTTGAGCGAGTTTCTTAGTTCATAAATATTAATAAGGTGGCACAATCTCGATGTGTACCAGCCGAACAAAGCCCATAGAGGCAGTCTAAAAATAACGCAATCTCAAACCAGTTCGCGACAGCCTACACAATTCAATGCCCGTATTATGATAGCTTTGGAGCAATCCACCGGAGTGCTCCCAGCGATGTGCAATTGGTCCATTGTCTTGCCATTCATATCTCTAGCCCCACCTCTGTAACCCTGAACTTGAGCAAGGTCAACATGACGCAATTAGGTCATTGTGTTAGAAGTTGGAATGGTGTAGTGGTGAAAGTTTTATTACTCGAGTGCGTATTCCAATAATGCAGGATGAAAGAAGTTGATTGCAAATAAATTCAGTTCACCAAACAAAGTAAAAAGAAGAGAGTGAATGAATTAAGTTCTCACCAAACTAAAAATATCAAAATAATACAATGAATAAAAAGTGGAATGGCTTACACAACAAATTATACTCCTTGAAGACCTAGATTAGGCCTACTGTTTCTCCTGTCTGCTTTTTGGAACTGAGGACCCCAAGCAGTCTAAGACAGGTTTTACTGATCTTGTCCATGTGAAACAACGCATTAAAGTCGAAAGTCATCAAGAGCGCACGTAAAAAATGCCGTTAAGTATCATACTTTCGGACAAGTAGACATAGCAGCGCAGCTAGTCGTAGGTCATCGCATTGCAACGTCTCACAATAAAAAACTGGTGAAAAAGAGCAGGCACGTATTGTGTAAGGTTATCTAATGTATTTTGTCCTGTGAAACTCACGAACTCGCCCTTCGCTGTCATGAAAAGGGTGATTTGTCGGGGAAATGAGGTATTTTTCGCTAATGCTATGCAGGCTCTTCGGCATTTTTTGCCCACTCTACAAAATGCATCTGCGCTTGTCACCGCAATATTCCATGACGGTCTGGAACAAGGTGGAATTTACAGTCTCGACTAACTAGCACAGTTTTCATTTGGAAAGGAGAGATCCAGCTCTGTCTTGAAGAAATTCTGTCTGAGCACTGGGACAATAATCCCATTCACGATGGTATCCTGAATGTATTAAAGAGCGAAACATTCCTCTTCTTTTTGCACTTTTTCAACAAAGTATACACGTGCGTTGACGCTGTTTATGGGACCCTCTAACACAGAAGTACAACGCCCATAGCAGCCTAACAAGTTCTAGACACATTCAAAGTAGCTGTCGATGAAATGAGAAACAGTATACTTGTTCCATCAACAAGACAGACAACAGAGAAACACGCTTCCAAGAGACGCAAACACAACAACACCAACGAAATTGCTGCAAAGCAGGCCTGTGACATATTAGTTACTCAAATTGTGACAGTTTCTTGAAGCAAAATAAAATCAATGCATTCTCAATCTGCGATTCATCCAAATTCCAGAAGTATCAAAAGTCGTTTCCAATAGTTCTTTTAGGATCGTTTACAGAAATATTACTGTTTTGCTTAAAATCAAATTACTAACAGAATTATAAGTATTACATTGCAATAAGATATTCAAATCTGCTCAGTGTCGTACATGTATAATCCAGGGCCTTTATTCAACTCTGAAGGACTACAAATTCGAGGCAACATTTAGAGAAGTATGCAAAATACAAGAAATCGCACTGACGTACGTTTATGTCGATCCACAAGGACATCATTGACAGCATGCCCAACTTCGTCAACATAATAACTGACACTTTTGCTCCAGCCAAAGAACGAAAGGAAAGCTTCTTCTTCAAATAGATTTTCTCAAAACAGGTAGGATGAAGAAAACATCTAATATACATGCCCTTGACTATCCTCAACCTGCTTTAACCTAATTGTGCACGCCCACTTTTTAGACCCACGAGCCGCCCCAGGAAACAGCAGTTCACAAGAGAGTGACAAACATACAAAAGAAGTAGAGGAAAAAAGACGATAGCAATGATGAGGAAAGAAAAAATCAGCAGTTCCCCCTATTTTGTTTCGGCACAATATGAGCATGACATTGATAAGTCAGCCCATTTACAATTCCAGTAATTCTACTGTGTACAAGAACATGTTAATAATGTATCCTCCCTTTGGGAATGACCTATTTAAGACACTTCAGTCAGTGGCATTGCCCTGGGGGG